GACACATTTTCATCTACACAATAACAATTATCAGCAAAGATCATACTAACGCATGAGAAATATGGAGAAAAAATATCATGTTTATTCATTTCGTAAAACAGTATAACACCATTTGCGATTTCGGAGAATGAACTACAAAAATGACAGTAATATTAAAATATGATAAACAAGATCAACAAGGAAAGGCGGCGTTCAATAAACGCAACCCTCATACGACCCAGCAACAAGACCCATTTTAAAGTATGAACAATATATGCATATTTATCAAATAACTCCAAACAACAGCTAACAAAATTATTCTTAGAAAATAAACCCCTATAAAAAGATAATGGAATATTATTCGCAGAACGGACAGGTACTATGCGTTTCGTCTGAGGTTTAAAAGATAGGGGAATTATTCCCCTATCTCTCTAGTCTCACTATGAATATCTCTCTGCATGTAAATTTGTTGCTGAAAAAGTGCGTAAAGGTCGACCCCCGGAAAAAGGACATCTGGAATTTCCTTTTTTATTCTGGAACGCATTTATTATATTTACAGAGATATATCATCATTTTGTTGAAATATGTCATTATTTATATACTTCTGCCAGATCATAACTATTGTATTTGTAATAATTTACAAAACTGTAATATTGTTTAAATAATGTGATAAACATAAATTTAAAATTCAGACCAATGATCATGAACAATAGTGTATTATATACATGTATATAATTGTTACTTTTAACTATGCACATGTATGGTTTGTCACTGAGTACTGAGCTATGGCTGCGATTTTACTCAGTTACAGGAACAAAGATAGATAGCTTAGCTAAACATTCTCTACAGTAGTCTTGTTTAGAGGTCAGTGACTAACTATACAATACAAATATATATGAGGCACACTGTTATTAATATGAATACTTAATTATCCGCATGTATGACAACTCTTTTCATTTCGTATCGGTATAGAGTATCTGGTACATGACAACATTTAATATTCATTTTTTTGTTATGAATTTCCTTATGATATGCTATTTCATGGATAGCGTGTTATTATAGGGAATACATACTGCCGGTCCATACACGGCTTCCTTCAGGTGTTTACAAATTTAAATAATAAGATATAATTGATTAAATAGAATTACAGTTAAACCTGAATGATTTTCTAGCAATTTTATGACACAATTTTTCTGACCCTGTAACCAGGTATTTACACAAAACGCGTGTCATTGACAGCCAAAATTTACCAATAAAAATCACATCAATTAGATAATTGACAAAAATAGATTAAACACCAAACAATAGTAATCAAGCAGACACAGCTACGCATTTAGTACTCACAAATGTACTTGACTCTGGGATATATATTCAATAAAACTTGAAACTTTATAAAATCAATTCCTATAAAGATCACATTAATAAACATTTATTGAAATAAAACTTTGATCCTGTTCACACAAAACAATATGTTTTACTGTTCAGGTGTCAAACACTAATTCTACTGATTGAAATATTTATAATCGCATTTTTCGGTCGTTTGTTGACAAATTAAGTACCTCAAACACACTCTAAAACAGCTAAAAATAAATCGGGGCGAAGAAGTCCTTCCGATTTCTATTATGTAAAGTCATATATTGGTTTCTCATTTATATATTTTTTTAACTTATTTTATGAGGTCATATCGGTTTTCCACAAAATATCTATAAATACTTTTTCCTATAATTAGTTGAGTGTCGATTGTATTCACTTGTGCTGGTACCCTTGCATGATTAAAACAAAATAAAAAAAAACAACACTAAATATCTCAGTCAATACTTTTTACTAAAACTTATTACACTATCTTTGCAATTGTGATGAATCTCAAATAACGCTGCTTGCATTTTAGGCAGACGATTTTTCAGCTTTTACTGAAAACTGTTTTATGCTATTTGTAAATTTATTTACACTCTTTCATTTGTAGGTCAATTTTCAGATGCAAGTATCTTAAGTTTCCAATCATAATTTACTTTATTCGAATTGAAGCAAACCAATGTACCATTTGTAACATGAATCAGTCTGTTTTCTCAATAAATTGTATTTGTTAATTAGTCATATTTATTAGTTTCCTTAATTATTCTTTTGTCAGTCGTCAAGATCATTTAATTTATTCATTTGTTTGGTTTTAGTTGAAAGGTTTAAATTCTCAGATTTTTTTTTTCTGTTCGCGACATTACGAATTCTTTGTAATGGTTTTCTATGAAAGATGAGATAATATTTTATAGAGCCGAATCCAAATTTTACATGAATAAGATGTATTAAACCATAAAGCTATTTTTACATATCAATTCCTAGTATTTCATAGATATCAGTTGACCAACATTTTTACCCAGTGACATACAAAATTGATAACATTTAGAAATAAATCTAAACAATTTGAGATTCAGAATCGAACTGTGATAACAATTAGGTTTTTGAGCTGCAAACCAGTTGCCCCTCACCGCTGTTGGTTCGAGTCAAGACAGGGACCTCTAGATTCTTTCATGTTAGGGGGCTAGCCGGCTGTCATTGTTTCTACTTATGTGTCCGTTCGTGTCTGAACTATTGTACGGAAGGGCACCTGAAGTAATCCACCAGGTTAGCTGGAAAGACGAATATGATCTCAACAAATAAACTCAACATACGGTTGAATTTATTTGTACAACACTAATTGAAGGTACATGTATTACGAATAATTTTCAAAGCAACACAACATTTGCATATTCAGACCGAATCACCCGGCTTCCTTCTCCAAATGGATCTCTTACAGAAGTACTGACTATTATTTCATTTAACACAATTTCAGGTGATAATTAGGAAATCTGTCCACGGTCATCATGGGCGGTCTATACAAAAAGAGCCTGACCTGTAAATTTATGAATTGCTTCGCACATAAATCTGTTAGGCCCTTATACTGTGTTTGTGTTGCGTAAAATCAACCCAAAATAAATCTGATCTAACAATACCGCTCGAGAACAAACTGTGGATTGAAAAATAACTGTACAAAGAAACGACACTTTAACCTTGAATCGCTAACACAGGCAATAATACAGTCGTATTGGCCTTTCCATATCATAACATGTATTTACTCGCTGTTATTTTTGCACAATACCTGCGTCACTTACACAGTCTAGAGGCGTGATAAGATACACGGTGATAAATTTGGTTTCCCTGGCTAATTTAGTGCGCAGTCTAAATCAGAGATAGAACATTACACTCTCTTCTTACCAGTACGAGTAGTTACATGTGTTTGAAGTTTAAGTCATACTGTATATGGACTTACAGGTATGTCATGATGCTTTTTTATAGGTAATTTACACTTTTTATTTATTTTAATATCATCAGAAGAAAAATAAAAGCTACAAGTAGCTAAAACTATTTCGTTGAAAGCTGTAATTTTTACTCACGATGTGTATTCCCGTGATACCGCCATAAAGGAATATTGTTTGAATTTTTCGCTTTAAACCGTTTATATAATTATGCTTAATTAATTATAACTGAACATAGTCGACAAAGTCTGACGGTATTTATTTGAAAGTATTTATTTTCATGTTATATTATTAAAATAATAAGTTCTTTAAAGCAAATTTCTCGATTCAATGACAATTACTGCACTAAAATAATATTTTTTACCGCAAGTATGACGTTATTCACACTAATGTTTTGTAAGTAATAACTGCACTAATAAACTTTTCCGGGTATCCTTCAACACCTGGCACTCGCTCAATCGTATTTTAGTACCATAAGAATAAGAATTTCAAGAAAATTTATGAGTTGACAAATCTAATTTCCAGCGTGAAGATGTTTTTCCAAGTATTTCTCTTCATCCATATATATATAGTAACATGTAGGAGGGCTGATATACAATATATAAATCAGAATAAACACTTTAATGTAAATAGAATATGGAAGATATTACATCAAGTGGGTATCATTGTTAAATTTAACGGACACTAAATAATAATTGTTCTATTTGGTGGATGTGTGTGTACGACACTTGAAGTTGCTGAAATCCTGTCCTGCTTTATATGAAATTAAAGGGAAAAAATAAACCAAAATAATTTTGTCTTGTTTTATAATAATTATTGCTGTTAAACTTGTTTATTGAAAATACAAGTTTTGGTACAAGTCGTTACATGTTCTTAAGATGGCTTACAATAGACATGGTACTCTTGAACAATAAAAATGTGAGCTTCATTGCTAATAATTTTATGTACAAAGATACATGTGTATAGGAGTGTATATTTCAAGTAAAACGATGATTCAGTTTAATCACGTAGTATTTTTAATGACGTCGTCACTATCGTCAAATAAAACGACGTCACTAACAATATTCTATTCAAATGCATAATAAATCAATTTAAGTTTTTTTTGTCCTAAAACAATAAAATTTGTCTTAAATAGTTTAGAAAAGATTGCATTTGAGAATCTTTGAATGAATAAAAATGTCAAATTTGACCACTATGTTGGAAATATCATGTCAGGCTCATATGGAGTTATCCTTGAGTTTTGTTTACAGAACCCCATCATTTAGGTTCAAGTCAAGGTACACGTAATTGGTGCTTTAGATAGGTATATAACTCTTGCTAAATTAGCCCTTATTTATAAACACATGTTCTCAATATAAATAGACGAAGAATATGCCCGTTCGGAGATTCAGTATTTTTTTCATTTTAACGTCAGAGATCGCGGTTTAATTGCTGAAAATTATGAATGCTTTTCGTACAGGCTGTAAAATGTTTTCTTCTAACTTTATACCGATTTTACCCTGGGTTTAACTTGGGTACTTTTTCATAATTTTGATTCTCATGAAACGTTGATCGGGGGTTTATCTTTAGTCTATACATAATTCTAATAAATATAAGATTGCCATGTTGAGCTTTAAAATGGCCTAAATCATTGAATTTTGTTAAACAAATTGTATGATGTGGTTAATAAAGGCTGATATTGATTAGGCTTACCACCAACTATCATAAAACCAACATTTGTAGCAATTCATTTATGACCTTGACAAGTTGACAAACTGCCAATTTATTTATTTGAGTTCTTGTCAAACGATGACTGGTTCATATATATTATTTTGTACAATACTCCGATAAGAAGTTTTATCTTAAGTGCAAACATATTTATCAAAGTGGTTGCAAAGTACATTACATTCACAATAAGATCACATTATTTGGAAGATTATTTTTTTCATTTGAAACCTTGCCAAACAATGAATTGTTTATTTTTGAATTGATAATGTTACACGCTAAATATCTCTAGACATTGTTATTTCACACATTGAAACTTAAATATGTTTTTCATAGAATTTAACTGTTTATAGATCAAATTATCCCCTGGCCGGGATCAATTTGTTTTAAAATTTTTCCAAACGATGACTTGTTCATATTTTAGTACCTACGAATAAGCTGGGATAAAGACCTTTATTATTTATACCGGAATTAGACTATTAGAATAAATAGTGTAAAACCGTTTTCACATTGTATTATTAATCATAAGTCATAAACCTAAGAAATATCGAGTAAAATTATACTTGTCACGCAGTTAGTAATCTAGGCTGTACAAATTTTTTTTTTAAAAAATCCAATTTCCATATTAGTAACAAAAGCAAAATCAAACGGATCACTAATATCTGCAAACTTACGAGCATATTTAATTAATTGTAAAATGGAACTTGAATGAACTTTGAATTTGGAACTACTGGTAAATGACAAAAATACATGCAAGTTACTAAAATTGAAGAATATAAATCATGGAATTTTGCAATTTGCAAAAATGTTGAAATAACTTCTATGTGTCTTGATTGACATATCTCTTTTAAATTTCAATTTGAATTTCTTAAGATCTCTTTTAGAAATGTTTATGTTTTTCTTGAATGCGTATTTACCAAGTCTCTCCCAAATTCCAACTTTCAGAGCACTTGGTATAACATTAAAGATCTACAATAGAACACAAACTCATAAAACATGTAAAATGCGTTCCAGAATAAAAAAAGAAAATTCCAGATGTCATTTTTCCGGGGGTCTACCTTTAGGCACTTTTTCAGCAACAAATTTGCATGCAGAGAGAGATTCATAGTGAGACTAGTAAGATAGGGGAATAATTCAGACGAAACTCAGACGAAACGCATTGTATCTGTCCGTTCTGCGGATAGTATTCCACTATCTTTTTATAGGGGTTCTAAGGATAATTTTGTAAATCGTTGTTCGGAGTTATTTGATAAATATGCAAAGAAGAATATTGTTCATACTTTAAAATGGGTCTTGTTGCTGGGTCGTATGGGGTTGCGTTCATTCAACGCCGCCTTTTCTTGTTGATCTTGTTTATCATATTTTAGTATTACTGTCATTTATGCAGTTCATTCTCCGGAATCGCAAATGGTGTAATACTGTTTAACGAAATGATATTTTTTCTCCATATTCCTCATGCGTTAGTATGATCTTTGCTTATAATTTTATTTGTGTATATGAAAATGTGTTCGTGATATATTTTTACCCCCGTTTATATGAAGATGATATGATCAATGACAAAATGGAGGGTCATAAAATAACGCAAACATTTGTTTGTTTTTTTTCTTTTTCTGTGACAATAAGTTTCTTTATTTAACATTTTCCATCATACATCATGTTGTTAAAATGAAATATATAGTAAATAAACAACAAAAATAAAAATAAAAATGTTTAAAAAGTTATCTACAACTGATATTAATATAATAATTAATAAGCTAGTGGTAACGTATTTTTGCCAACTAATCCATTTTAACCAACTATCTTTATATCAAAATACGTATCCATTACCTATAATGTATTCATTATACAGTATTCATTTACATTAATTATCAACTTAAAAAAAACTAGTGAAAAAATATAATATTTTAAGTGAAAAATGAAAAATAATAATAACAACAAAAGAAATAATAAATGATTTCAACTGATTTTTTTTTTTTCAAAAAATTTGTTATGTTTATTTGCCCGGGTGCTATGAAAATGAGGCAAATAAGCTAATGTCAGTTATTAATAAATAAATAAAGGGATGAAAAAAATAAGTAAATAAATAATTAAATAAATATATGAATGAATAAATAAATATACATATAATTCATTCATGTAATATAAGGTGATTGAAAAGTGATAAAAACATCAAATGGTAAAATGTAATAAAAATGCGGTATATCATTATCATTTATATATGCAATGATGTGATTGATTGCTGTCATGAAAATTTATTGTTTGAATGCTGAGTAAATAGCTTAATCATTTAACCCGGTTCAGAGAGAATACAAAACTCATGCAACCAAAGTTATATTTTTGTGGTTATATATTGACACATCTTCATCTGTTAATTCTTTTGAAATAATAGCCAAGTTTATGCGGACAAATAACATATAACTGTTTGTTATGCATGTATGTTACTTTTATATTCATAAGTATTTTCAATGATATGTTTCTTTTCGTTTTTTCACTGTTGTTTTTCTTTTTTTCTATTTTATTGTTGTTGGTGTTGTTCCTTCATCTTTTTGAAGAAAAAAATTAACTTGCAATAACATTTATGCATATAAAGGGCTTATAGTTTAATGTTTTATCATACAATTTTATACATTATTACTGCAACAAACGAAAATTAAGGCAAATTTGACGTTACTGAACATTCATGGAATATAATAAAAATAACTAACATTATTTTTGGAGAATTCTGATCTCATATCTATTTTTCTAACTGATTATCGAAAATCAAACACAAAAATAAAAATCAATTTCAATATAATAAACATAATAAGAAATAGATGTGTATCAAAGAAAGCTATTGGATGATAAAAGCTAGTACCAAAATGTTAAAAAGGTGAAAGGCACAATCTGTCGCAGAAATCCATAATAATTAAAATGTTTAGAAATGTCAAACATGTATAATCAACGATTTAGAGGATGTAAGGTGTTTAACAGATGAGGAAAGTATCGCTGAATGTTCAGTAATATTTCGTAAAGGTAGCAAAATGTAATCTAGGTAGTATTTTGACTTCTACACGAAAAACGTATTTACACTAATTATATCAATCGCAAAATTAGTATTTAGAACATGAGATCGTACCACTTTTAAGAAACTGTAACAGGATACCAACTTTGAAACTTAAAAAACGTTTTTGAGAAATGAAACTAACCTCATGTTTGAAGCATGGTGTGCCTTTAATTGTAAATCCAAAAGATTATGAAAAAAACAGATATGGGTAATATTATATTACACAAAACACAAAGCAATGACAGTGCAAAACATAATATTCATACATTTTTCTGAATATATTTTTGCGGAATCAAATAATGAGTTTCATTCTGTAAAGAAAAACAAAAATAAAACAAAAATAAAACGATAGTTGAAACATGATGAACTGAGAATACCAATATCACTTCAGCAACTTCAATGTTAAATGTCTATGTCTGATGTTTTCATCGCGCATTCAAAATGTTTGCGATTGTTCCGATGCATCACTTTTCTAAACAACCATTTTTTATCCGTATTTTATTGTTATTCCTTATTTGACGCCGTTTTATATTAAATCCAGTATACGTCTTATTGATTTGTTGAATATCAAATCACAATATTTTCTTTTCTTCTCTAATCTGTAAAATAAAATAAACAATTTCATTTGATTTTTTTCCACATCAAATTTGTTCCTTAGATATGATAAAATAAAAGTCATACATTAATTAAAAAGTTTTAAACGATTAACTTCCTGACACAAATGAAACACATGACTGTGTGTCTTTTATAGGAAAAGTATTACTCGCTTTAATACTGACAAAATGTGAATGTATCGCATGCTCAATCTGAAATGTTTATTTTTTTTTCTTTCTAAATTTGTGATATAAGTCGTATAAATACATTGATTTACACTTTAAGCATAATGGGGGTTTTCAAGTATATATAATTTAATGTATGTTATTTAATGCAAGGATAAACAATAATTTTTATATTATTTTCATCTAAGCTTGAAATGTTATTATGTTAATATTAATTCATAGACAAATTTTAACGAGTCAAAACAACATTAAAGGATAATTTTATGCAAGAAAAGCAAATATTGACACAAAAAAACAACAACTTATTAATTTGTAATAAATATTTTACAAAGTATTATAACATGCGTAAATTTATTATGCTTGTTTCAAATTTTAAGAATTTGTGTGTAAGTTACAATAAATATAAAATTGTTAAAAATTGTTACAACAATTTAAATTGTCATCACACTTTAGATGTTATGTTTGTAAATTAAAATGCATGGCACATAAGTACATGAAAATAAAAGAGAGGTGCCTAAGCTAAAAGAATAGTTAAAAACCGCCAAATAACTCTTATGAAATGAAAGTGAAAATTATGTGATGCTAAAAACAAATACAAGCATCAAAATAGTACGATGAATGTATACAAAACATAAAAATGGTGAGTATATGTACCTGATTAATTAACAATTTCCCAAGCACTAATCGATCACCGTCATGTACTTCTGATAGCCATGTTTCATTGTTTGTTATGTTTAGCTTATTAGTTCGAATCAGTAATTCAGTGTTCTGTTACACTATTTTAGTACACACTGACACTTTAAATTTTACACAACACGTATGTACTTTTCCTTCAGACTATTTTCTATTTCAACCGAAACAGCCTGTGGTGAATCTCTCTTCTACTACATAGTCCTACACATAAACTTTTTCCCCCAAAATTTCCTATCTCTGGTCAGTGAATAATTACACGGCTTGTCACTGTATTACTGATAGCAGCACCCTTGAATGTTTTATGATCCTATCATGTTTCAAGAATGTATAGTTTTAAGCTGGAAGACATAGAGAACATTTTAGATGTAAGGAAAAACTAAAGATTTAACTTTTTAGTGTAAAGAGTAACATACCATTTATAATAATAGTTAAGAACAAAAAAAAATGGATTACATTAAAAAAAGGTTTTTAATCACTTACAACAACTCACAATGAAAATACTTGTGTAAATTACTTTCATATTAAAGGCATATCATACCTCAGTGATTTACATTATTTTTCTCTTTTTTTTTCAGAAGGAGCAAAATAATGTTTAGTAATAATTATAATTGATTCAAAGCATTATTGAAGCTTATCATTCAATTTAGTAGGAAAAGAGATGAATGTGATTTTTTTTAAAAAAAGGTACCAAAATGATACAAGCAAAAAAAAGTAAATAAAGTGTTTAAAGTAAAATTCTAAGTTCAAAGGGGAAATATCTCTTGAAATAAGGATGCCAGAGTTATGAACCTTGTCACGTGATGTTAGTTAATGACAAAGGACAATTATCTTAAGTCTAGAGTTGATGTCATTAAGATTTTATAATAACAAATATTAATTTCTAGAAATATATTAATTTTCAATAAATCTCTAGTTCAAAAAATGAAATGGAGATAATTCTAGAAATACAGGACTTGAGTTATAAATCTAATTGCACCTGATATACGTGTTGATAAGAAAGATTTTTTTGCCGCCGAAGGGAGGCATATGTAAAACGCACCGTCCGCTGTCTGTCAGGACATCCGTCTGTCTGTGCGTCCCCACTTCATTCGTGTCCGGACTATGACTTTGTCATGCATGGAATGATATTAAAATAACTAGGCATTAATGTCTACCACATCAAGACGATGTGTCGCGTCCAAGAATTACGTTCCTACCTCAGAGGTCAATGTCACACTAACATTTTGCAGTTTCACTTTATCACAATAAAAGTGTATAGATTCACACATTTGTGTTCGGAATGTACCTTTGTCATGCATGGAAGAATTTTATAATATTTTGGCATTAATGTCTACCACATCAAGACGATGTGTCGTGTCCACTTATCACGCCCCTACCTAAAAGGTCAAGGTCAGACTACCATTTTGAATTTCACTATATCAAAATTAGAGTTTTTAGTTACACACATTCGTGTCCTGACTGTAACTTTGTCATACATTGAAGGATTACAAAATAACTAGGCATAAATATCTTCCACATCAAGACGACATGTCGCGACTAAGACCCATATCCCTACCTTCAAGGTCAAGGTCATACTTATAGTTTGAAGGTACTCATTCTCTCGAGAAGAGTTTAAAGATACACATTCATGTCCGCACTGTAACTTTGTCATGCATGGAAAGATTTTATAATTACTTGGCACATTTTTAATGTCTACCATATCGACGATGCATCGCAGCTAAGGTTCATGTCCGACTGTCCGTCCGTGTGTCCCACTTACACAACAATCATGTCCAGTATGTAACTTTGTCAAGCATTGAGGGATTTTGAAATAACTTGACACAAATATCTGTCTCATGACAACATTCTGTCGTGTCCAGGAACCACGTCCCTTCTTCAAAGGTCAAGGTCACACTTATATTTTGGAGGTTCACGCTATCATAATTAGAGATTATAGGTACAATAATAAAAAGAAATATATTATGCAATTAGTTACTTTCATCATCTTTTCTTTTCATACTACCAGTCCTGCATGCTTAAGAAATCTTTACGGGGGCATTCGTCACTCGTGTGACAGCTCTTGTTGAAGTCTGAATTTAATAAGGAAAATTCTGAGTATAAAGGGATGATGATTCTGAAAATATTGATGCTAGAGTTATGAAGCTTGCCATGTTATTGTTTAAAGTTATCAAATATCAATTTTTATTTAAACAAAAAGTTTAATGGGGGACATAATCCTGGAAATATTCATGCTTCAGTTATGAATCTTGTCACACATGATAAAGAAATATATTTGAAGTTAGAAGTAGATACCTTAAGAAATAAAAAAGTAAGTACATGTAAAAAAAAAGTTCATGGGGAGATAATCCTGGAAAAAATGGTGCTAGAGTTAAAAAACAACATTGTCACATAGAGTTGATGATAAAGAACACATGTTTGAAGTTTAAATTCAATCATTTAAATACGCTAAGTACAATCCACTCTATCTAAGAACATACCATGACTATCTTGTTTACAGAAAATCAAGACATTAATTGTACTAATTGCCATACTAAGAATGTGACTGGGTCATCAAATATGAAAATGTTGTAATTGTATGCATACAAACAATAAACTTCTAGATTTACAGAATAAATGTGTATAAATCAAACGAATATTAAATTTACATACTCCGTCTTTGTAGCACGTTGTTCGATCCCTTTATCAATATTATAATCTTATTATCTTAATTTTACCCATGAAATATGGTGCTATATCAGTCAAATATATTTCATATTTTTTAAAAATAAATATGAAATATAAATATGAAACTGTGCGGAGTCAAAACTCATTTTTATTTTCAGGGACTATGTGTCTTGATTGACATATCTCTTTTAAATTTCAATTTGAATTTCTTAAGATCTCTTTTAGAAATGTTTATGTTTTTCTTGAATGTGTATTTACCAAGTCTCTCCCAAATTCCAACTTTCAGAGCACTTGTATAACATAAAAGACCTACAATAGAACACAAACTCATAAAACATGTAAATGATCAATTGCAAACACAAAAATACTTGCACTGAAGGCTTGTTGTAGGCAAATCATATAAAAACACACTACTTGCTTAATAATGCACTGTAGGCACATTACCAATAAACCAGCGGTCGGTGTAACTCATGCAATGTAAATGCATGTTCAATATACGCACACAAACAACAACAAAAACACTGTTTGCGTGAAACGATCTCTGTAGATACGGCATTGATGACCTTATCCGTGCAATGTCGGTTAAAAAACATACACACCCTATCTGCTTAAGATATGCAACGTTGGCCCAAAACAAAAAATGACTAAGTCATGTACTGTTGAAAATAATGCATTCGCTTACATACAGAAAAATATTGTGAAATTTGTATAGCCAATTCGGGGTGCAATTAGAATATATTGAGCCTTACATGTTATCTAATTGTGTGGAAGCACCAGCCCGTTCAGGCTTAAATTCATAAAACAACACGTTTCCCTTGCATCTGTACTATTTATCTTTCTGCTATTTGATTATAAAATTGTTGGATCCATAGTTTGTTCAGATTTTCGTTCAACTCCAGATATGTGTTTACTTTTCAAGCACCTTATTCTTCTTTTCATGAACTATTTTTTAGATATGACTGAGCAAAGTAGTGTCTAAGATGATGGGTCAGTGACAGAAATGGTCAGGTTGCATTTGTAGCTGTGATTCTACGAAAATTGTTTTACTATTGACCATTAATACTGAAAAATTAACTAAGTCGGTAAAAGGAAGTGGTTAAATTGAATACCACGGTATTGAACCACGTGTTAACGCTGTATACCAAGTATCAAGAGGATCTGATAAGTAGTTGCTGAGGAAAATGTTACGATATTTCCTACCTACCTACAATTGACCATTAATGTCACCATTGACCATTAATGTCGAAAATTTAACTATGTCGGTAAAAAGGAGGTGGATGCATCAGCAACCCCAGAGGCTACCGGTTCTCTCTTCGTTCCTTGTTCTATCACAAAAAAATTCGGCTGTCACTGCACGCAAAATCTTTTGAATTTCTGCTGCTTCATTATATTGGGAATGAAGCAACTGCTCTCGTGTCATTTTCTGGAGATTCTTTAGGTCAAATACCTCATTGATATTCATTACTTCTGCCATACTGGCTCGGACAAATATTCTAAATGTCACCACGCTCTTGATCCATGTTCAGTACATTTTTGTAAAGATTCGAAAAAAATCTGAAAACACAGTAATCCCTCGGAAGCATTTATCACAACAAAATTACAAGAGAATTGCAGACTCGGTTACCCTAGTTATTATAAGCACGGGAAATGGAACATATATACTACAAGTTGTGTCTCAGTGGTTCGCTAAAATCAGTACAGAAATAACCCTTTGTTCAGAGTCTAACGGCATTTATAGTAAAAGCAGATAGTCGATGACCTAGAAATCATCAATACTACCTTTCTGACCAATTTCCATGATATTTGGATCAAAACAGCCTCAAGAGTGTACAAGGTTATTCGATAGTTTGGCTGTGTGACCTAGTTTTTGACTAGAGGTGACCCATATTCAAACCTTAAAATCATCATATCAATCTTTCTGACCAATTTCATGGATATTTGGATTAAAACAGTAGCCACTAGAGTGTTAACAAGGGTTTTCCATATGAAGGCTGTGTGACTTACTTTCCGACCCCAAGTGACTCATATTTGAATTTGACCAAGAAATCAACAAAAGACTTTTTCTGACTTGTTCTAGGGATATTTGGGCTGAAAATAAATCACTTTGGGTGTTAACAAGGTTTTTCCATATTTTGGCTGTGCGACCTTGTTTTTGACCCCAGGTTACTCATATTTGAACTAGATCTAGAAATCACCGCAAATTTTCTTGCACTTTCAAGTACCGTAAATGAACAAGCTCATGCAACATTTTCAATTTTGTAGTGTTAGACTTTCTTTATGAATTCTGTATTTCTCTATTTTTTCTGACCAAATTCCAGGATATCTGGATAAAACAGAAGTTTCTAGAGTGTTTACAAGGCTTTTTCATATAGCAGCTGTGTGACCTAGATTTGGACCAAAAGTGTCTCTTATCCAAATTTGACTTAGAAAGTAAAAAGTAAAAAGTTGTAAAAAGTCTCCCCATACATTTAATCAATGATGCTATATTTTCGATCCTTGAAGATCGTTCGGCACGACATTATTGTTGTGCTTGTGGTATTTTTGGTTTCAACTTTTCGGCATTTTCTAGTTGGGTTACTTGAATAATGTTGAATCACCCTTAGGATATGTTGCCTGCTCTTTATTTTAAATTTGTCTTTTGACGTCTTATCTGTGATATGCAGGCTTCATAACCTCTGACTCTCTTTCAAAATTCCATTTTAATTAGTTCGGCCCATTGTTTTCTCATTTAGGACACACACTAATTATTACTTGGGGACCATACGCCGCTTTTCATGGAATGGCACGGAAGTGTCACATTGAAGATTCCATGATAACCGCCATATGAACACATCTGCGGATGTATCAAAAATTCAAAATTGTACTACTTCATGTTTAAATGTTGAATTCTGCTTAAGCCGGTGCTAGGGGGGCGTGGACGGTAACTTACACTTTCCAGTACCGTCAATGAACAGGTTCAATCAAACCGAGCCTGCAACATTTTCAATTTTGTCGTGTTGGGCTTTCTTTAGGGATTCTGTATTTATCTATTTTAGAAATTATCAAAGCAACCTTTCTGACCATTTTCTAGAACATTTGGATCTAAACAGTAGCCTCTGGAGTGTTAACAAGGTGTCTCTATATTTGGGCAATGTCACCTAGTTTTTGACCCCCAGGTGATCCATATTCAAACTTGACTAAGAAGTCATCAAAAAAACCTTCCTGACCAATCTTCAGAATATTTGGATAAAAGCAGCAGCCTCAAGAGTGTTAACGAGGTTTTCCCATATTTAAGATGTGTGACCTAGTTTTGACCCAAGGTCAACCATATTCGAACTTGACTTAGAAATCATCGAAACAACCTTTCTCTCCAATTTCCACAATGTTTTGATAAAAAATAGTTACCTCTAGAGTATTTTTGAATATTTACACTGTGTACCTAGTTTTTGATCCTAAGTGACCCATATTCGAACTTGTCCAACAAATCATCACAACAACCTTTCTAACCAATTTCAAGAATCTTTTTAATCAAAACAGTAGCGCCTAAAGTGTTAACAAGGTTTTTCAATATTTGGGATGTGTGACCCAGTTTTTAATCCCAGGTAGCCCATTTTCAAACTTGACCTAGAAACATCAAAACAACCTTCGTGACCAATTTCCGAGATATTTGGATCAAAACAGTAACTTCTAGAGTGTTAACAAGATTTTTCTATTTTAAGCTCATGTGAGCTACTTCTTAACCCGAGATGACCCATATTCGACCTTGACCTATATATCTTTGAGACAAACATTTTGACAAAGTTTGACAACCTAAATGTTATTATTCATGTCCAGACATGACCATCAAAATATTTTATAATATGAAATAAAATATGACCTTTGATGTATTTTATTTGATCCATAACTTTTAGCTACAATTCCTTTCTCATGACACATTGTTTCTAAGTATTTAACCTTAGTTCTCGATGAAAGACACATATATGGACTGGACATGGCCACCAATACCCTCTTATATCATAACTTTTGACATTCAAGTGCGGAACTCTTTATCGCTACTTGGCGTCTTTCAGTATGCCGAATTATTTTTAAATTTATCCTCCTTGACCGGGCGGAAGTTGCATATTTTTTGTGAAAAAGTAGAACCTAATGCATAAATTCACAAATTAATGCCATGTCTGAATTTTTGTCTGTTGCGACGAAGATTGAAAGGTCTTGTCGAAGCAAATTAAATTGGATAACAAGTAAAAATGAAATGATAGGTGTACTTAAAATAAATTCAGAGACAGAGGGAAAGAAAAATATCTCCGTTGCGCCCAGGATATGTCCATTTTGCAGGCATATATATAATCATTCAAAACATTAAAAAATTAAACAATATTCCTATTGAATTTGATAACAAACTTCCATAATGATATAATATTCAATTAATAGAATAAAATAGAGAAAATAAGAATCCCTTAAAAGCTTAACACGGCAGTATTGAAAATGTTGCAGGCTCGGTTTGATTGAGGCTGTTAATGGACGGTACTGTCATTCAAGTGCAAACTACCGTCCACGCCCCTTAGCACCGACTTAAGCAGAACTCAACATTTAAACATGAAATGGTCAAATTTTGAATTTAGAAACGTTCGCAGATGTTTTTCATACGGCTGTTATTATGGAATAAATTTTAGTTTGATAACTGTAATTTATAGACATTCATTGTGCTCTTTATACAAATTTATCTTCGTTTCGCTGAGATCCCGAATAAGTACATTTCTTAGGCATGACCTTTCAAAACATTTAAATAAAAATTTTCCCACTGAAATTTAAAACAAACTTTTACGCTGATACTGTAATAATATACATAATTTATATTACTTTGATAATTATTATTTTTAATCATACATTATAGGAGAATATGTCCATTTCGCGGCCATTTTGCAAGCAAAGAATCCTCCAAAACAACCTGATGCAAATAGTTGTGATACATTTTAAAACAACTTACCTTTTTACTAAGTTAATCTGTTTTATTACTTAAATGTTAATTGTTTTCATGTTTAAGCATACATTTGCCTGTTTTGCCTGTTGCGCCAAAAAATCTCCGCTGCGTATTTAAGTCATTCCCCTGGGTCCTTCAAATCATTAGAATATAGACTGGCTCATTGACACGTTATTTATAAGGAAAATAAAGAAACCCATAAAAACAAAAAGAATATGATATTCAAACATGGCACTTCCACTTAAGTTAAACGTTTATTATTTTAATTGACATTACGCCGCCTGTTCGATTTCAATACTTAAATAATTTATTCATGTAGGAATACTCTTCAAATTTATAAGCAATATTTCGGAGAAAAAAAACGCCAATCGGATAACGTAATTGGAATTCCAAATTTCACCCCTCCCAATGTCTTTTATGTTTTGAACTTTAAAGTTTAAATCCAAATTTCAATCACTAATAAATTTTAATTTCAATTGAACAGGCGATTGAAAACTAACGTCGAGTACTTTTTGTAAGTTTATTTGTTTGGAGAAAACAACTCATTCTTTTAGCGCGTAACTTATCACTTCAGATCCAGATGGAGAGGCGTATGTGTCTTTACGTGTTAAGAGACAAAGTTGGACGTAAAATAATATATCTTTTTAATTTTAGTAACAATGGATGATCAAGAGACCACCGAAAATGAAAGGCACGACGTATTACCCATGACAGAACAGAGTGGTGAATCCTTTAAAACATCTGTTTTATCACCCGCTCTCACTGAAGCAGCTGTAGCAGACGTTATTGACAGGCGAGACAAAGAAAGTCTTGACAAAGCTTACAAGAGCCTTGAGCACTGCCATGCTGTGATAAATGATTTGATGAAGCAAAACGCAAGCCTTACCGAGACAATTGGATATATGATTAGATCAGGAAATAGCCAAGATCAAAAAGACATTATAAATACCGATGGCAAGCCAATGTTCAAGAAAACTGAAGGAAAGAAGCGTGATCGAAATGCCTCAATATGCTTTTCTGACGATAAAAGCCCGAGTCCAAAGTTTGTGAAATTCGATCACGCTGCAAAAGATAAAATTATTGCCTCAACGTAAGTATGTCATTATAACATAATGTCATAATAATGAATCTTAAGACATAAATATTTTATATGTTCGGACTTTATATTTGTAACTTGTATATGATCAAGACAAGATAATTATTATATATTTCTGTTAAGCTTTTAAAAGGATTACCGATTTATTCATAAAGATATTTTAATTTGATAGTTTAATTGTGAAAATTTTTAAACATTATTTCAGAAACTACTTTTAAAATTGTTCGTTATATTACCTCTCTATTTGTTTTTGCTTATATATATAGACATTATTAGGCCTATTTGAAGCGGTAAAAAAACTAAAATTACATTCGTAATCAGATATATAAGACTTACTTCAATTCATTTAATTCACTGACCACCAAACATCGTCTTTTCTTAACAGTTTGACAATTATTCTTCCTTCAAAGTATACAACAACAACAACAAATGCTGAAATTTTCATATAATTGTGTTGTTTTCAGTGCAGTCGAGGTACTTCCCTTCTCAAAGATAGTAAACATTTTTACTTTCATTTTAATATTTAATTAAGTGATATGTTTTGCTTTAAATGCTTTTTAAAAAAGTTTCATTAACAAACTTTGGCTTGCAATAAAAACAGATTTTTTTAGTTTGAGCTGATTTATCATATTGACATAAGTTGTGTAAAATCAAAAACTTAAAAAAAAAATAACCCCTGATTTATTGAAAAAAAATTTCCCCGACAGTTATAGCACTATTCTAAGAAAAACATGATAAACAAGATCAACAAGGACAGGCGACGTTTAATGAACGCAACCCCCTAGCCCAATCTAAAAAAATGCTCATTTAAGGATCTAGCAAAGACCAATTTATGCTGCATCCTGAAGATAACAAATATGTAAACTAAACATATTGAAATTGATCGCTCACCTGACTCATCGAACTCATACGAGCAATTACTAAGACAAGCATCCTGGCCATGTTTGGCAATTAAGTCAAAATTGTGACCTCTAGAGTGTTAACAAGGTTTTTCAATATTTGAGAAGAGTGACCTAGTTTTTGATCCAAGATGAACACTATTCGAACTAGACTTAGAAATCATCATCATAGACTTGCAGATCAATTTCCAGGATATTTGGATAACAACAGTAGCCACTAGAGTGTTAACAAGATTTGTCTATTTTTAGCTTCTGTGACCTAGTTTTCGACCCGAGACGACCCATATTCATCATTGAGTTAGAAATCATCAAACATCCTTCCTGACCAATTTCCAGGATATTTGGATAAAAACAGCAGCCACTAGAGTGTTAACAAAATTTTTCTATTTTTAGCTCATGTGACCTATTTTTAAGAGAGATGACCCACATTCAAACTTGAACTAGAAATCATCAAAACAATCTTCCTGATCAATATCGAGAATATTTGCATCAAAACTTCTGCCACTAAGGTGTTAACAAGATTTTTCTATTTTTAGTTCTTGTGATCTAGTTTTTGACTCGAGACAATCCATATTCGAACTTCAATTAGAAATTCACGAAGCAACCTTTCTGACCAAATTCCAGAATATTTTGGATCAAAACTGCAGCCACTAGGATGTTAACAAGATTTTCTATTTTTAGCTCCTGTGACTTAGTCAACCCATTTTTAAACTTGACTAAGAAATCCTCAAAACAGCATTCCTGACCTATTTCCAGGATATTTGGATCAAAACTGCAGCCACTAGAGTGTTAACAAGATTTTTATATTTTAAGCTCCTGTGACCTAGTTTTTGACTCGAGTGGATCCATATTCGAACTTGACCTAGGAATTATCAAATCAACCTTTCTGATCAATTTCCAGAATATTTGGGTCAAAACTGCAGCCACTAGAGTGTTAACAAGATTTTTTCTATTTTTAGCTCAAGTGACATATTTTTTACAAGAGATGACCCCGCATTCGAACTAGAAATCATCAAAACAATCTTCCTGATCAATTTCCAGGAAATTTGCATCAAAACTGCAGCCACTAGGGTGTTAACAAGATATTTTTATTTCCTTTGACCTAGTTTTTGACTCGAGACAACCCACATTCGAACTTAAACTAGAAATTCATGAAGCAACCTTTCTGATCAAATTCCAGAATATTTTTGGTCAAAACTGCAGCCACTAGGGTGTTAACAAGATTTAATTAAAAATTAAATAAAAAGTTAAATTTTGGCCATAATTGACGTTGAATCAACATCAGGTATAGATCTGTGTGGTTGTCAAAAGTTGAATCTTGTTTGAACAACGTCACGAATTTTACTTCAACGTTGTTTCAATGTTGAAACAACGTTATGTGCCTGCCGGGAACATTTATGATTCATTTAAGCAGTAACATTTATATTATATCGTTTATTTTGTGACATTTAAATGAGGCTACCTGTCGTGAATAAAAGGTTTTAAAATTTGTGAAATTGCAGACATGTGATTTAAGCTCGAATTAAATAAATTAATAACTTATTAATAATTAATAAATTAAATAAATAAAAGACAATTTGTTGTTGTGTTTTTGTGAGAAGAAATTTAATTTTAACAAGTGAGCTTTAAAAACAATATTATTACGAGTTGCATAGCTCCTTTAAATTGTGGATTCAAAATCCAATTGATACAAACAAATTCACCCGATGAGATAAAACCATGTCACTATATGGATTTTCTAGGTCTGCAGCAGCAAAGAAAGCTGATGAAAAAGCAATTGAACATGAATGGCGTAATTTAGCGGACAAAGAGATAGATGAAGGTAATTATTTTTTATTGTTGTAAATTATAAATGGAAGCTAAATTTCAGTTTCAATCAAAATTTTCAAATTCAATGTTTCAAAATGATTAGTTTAATCGCAGCAAGTGCAATATGACGATTTCATTAAAAGAATGAAAACATAAAAAAATGAGAAATATACATCACATCTGTACAGATGCATGATTATCATAACAAACATCTTTTCCTCGTGAAATGTTGGAAGCCAATAAAGAAAGTCATAAAGGTATCACTAAGATAATAAGGTTGTGTAAATATTAACCAAACTTGAAATGTTCCAATAGGACATGTGTACATCTGCCTCATGGGTCAAAAATATAGGGAGACATACTCATATGAACCAAAAATGCATGTGAATAGTACCGACAGTAAAATTATGTTAATTATCCAATGTAACTTGAACATAAGCTGCATTATAACTTAAGTTCCATCCTTCTCTTGGGCATTTACCTTTGACATAACATCATGGATCTTGCCGACGACACCTTGTCAAATGATGATAGATATTTAGACGAACAACAATTATCGGCCGGCATATTGCTGACACCTCTTGACGCTAAATAGACTTATAAATGTAATCAGGGGGGGGGGGGGGGGCATACATCTAAATTGCTCGGCAGTCGTATCTGCTCCTAATAAAGAACAAACATTGTAGGTCTGAATATGTGCAACCGTTTAGGACACAAATGTGAGAAAATGAGGAAAAAGTAAAACAAAAATTGTTCATCTGGATATCATCCTTTTGAAAAAGCATTCCATTTTAAATATAAAGAAACCAAGTAATTTTAGTTAAAGGTGAATGATTTATAGTGACATTTAGAATTGAACTAAAATAGTATTATTGAAATAATTGTCAATACATGTACTTGTAAATTTACCATGTCCGAGGTCATATTAACCTAGGTTAAAGCATCCAGTTAAAATGTTATCTGGAAAAGAATAGACAATAACATTAATGAACATGAAAGAATTTATAAAATTAAACATATTTTGTATTTATATGTATTTTAAAGGAAGGAAAAATGGATATGGAGGGAGGCATGGGACTCACGCCATCTTATGTATTGACACGTCAGGCAGTATGAGAGAAGGAAATGCTTGGTCACAAGTCAAACAATTTTATAATGACTATTTAGATGGTATATTTATTTCATTACTCAACAATGTAGTGTATGTTGAATTCAGGCTAATAAAAATCAGCTCCCATATAAATACGCATTAGGATCTGACGATAAGCAATAGGTTGGCACCTTCTCGTGATCTAATTTTAACCACTGGAAAACCAATACTGATATGTTATTTTCACGATTTCGAGAACAAACATTGCGTAGTCAATATAGTCTTGCCCATTTGAAATTGAGTCTATTATTTCCAGTGTGCTTGTTTCACATTTCTTCAAACAATGTTTATCTTACAAAAATCAACAATTTGTTTACTTCCACGGAAAACGAAATGTTGATGCCTCGTCTAATGCATATCTGTTAAAAACCGGTTTGATTGCATGACTGAAATAGCTTACTCGAGGAAATCTGAATCATAAGGAAGGCGAAACATATAGGTTTTAATCTGATCTACATGTAAGAAATAAGTATATCTGAACTTTAATCAGATTAGGTTCAATTCTGCCGTACCGTGTATTTTATAATAATGTTACTTCTTTTCTTCTTCAAATTCTAAAGCAAAGCACATATTTAATATATTATTATTGTTAAGCAGATAAATACAGAAGTATTGTTAACCAGATAAATACAGAATTATTTTTCCGCATTGTATACAATTTCGTAATTCCATTATTCTTATTTGCTTTTGAAGGTATGGAACAGCTTAAAGATCAGGATGCTCATCATGACAATATTGCTGTCGTCACATTTGGTGAGGAAACGATGGTTCGACAAAGGTTGACAAAAAATTTGAACAGTCTTAGAGGATTGTTAGGTATTCAATGCCTTTTTCAATAAAATACACATTGAAGGTCATTTCTATTGAATTATCATTGTTTTTAGCTCACCTGTCACAAAGTGACAGGGTGAGCTTTTGTGATCGCTTTTCGTCCGGCGTCCGTCCGTCGTCCGTCCGTCCGTCGTCCGTCCGTAAACTTTTGCTTTAAATGACATCTCCTCATAAACCACTGAGCCAATTTCATCCAAACTTCACAGGAATGTTCCTTTGGTGGTCACCTTTAAAAAATGTTCAAAGAATTTAATTCCATGCAGAACTCTGGTTGCCATGGCAACCAAAAGAAAAATCTTTAAATATCTTCTTTTAAACAACCCTAAGAGCTAGAGCTTAGATATTTGGCATGAAACATCTTCTAATGAGTGTCTACCAAGTTTGTTCAAATAAAAGCCCTTGGGTCAAAATTGGCCCCGCCCCAGGGGGTCATTGATTTTCCCTATATACATATAGTAAAAACTTAAAAAATCTTCTTTTAAAGAACCCAAACAGCTAGAGCTAAGATATTTGGCATGAAACATCTTCTAGTGAGTGTCTACCAAGTTTGTCCGTCCGTCGTCCGTCCGTCCGTCGTCCGTCCGTAAACTTTTGCTTTAAATGACATCTCCTCATAAACCACTGAGCCAATTTCATCCAAACTTCACAGGAATGTTCCTTTGGTGGTCACCTTTAAAAATTGTTCAAAGAATTTAATTCCATGCAGAACTCTGGTTGCCATGGCAACCGAAAGAAAAATCTTTAAATATCTTCTTTTAAACAACCCTAAGAGCTAGAGCTTAGATATTTGACATGAAACATCTTCTAATGAGTGTCTACCAAGTTTGTTCAAATAAAAGCCCTGGGGTCAAAATTGGCCCCGCCCCAGGGGGTCATTGATTTTCCCTATATGCATATAGTAAAAACTTAAAAAATCTTCTTTTAAAGAACCCTAAGAGCTAGAGCTAAGATATTTGGCATGAAACATCTTCTAGTGAGTGTCTACGAAGTTTGTTCAAATAAAAGCCCTGGGGTCAAAATTGGCCCCGCCCTGGGGGTCATTGATTTTCCCTATATGCATATAGTAAAAACTTAAAAAATCTTCTTTTAAAGAACCGTAAGAGCTAAAGCTTAGATATTTGGCATGAAACATCTTCTAGTGAATGTCTACCAAGTTTGTTCAAATAAAAGCCCTGGGGTCAAAATTGGCCCCGCCCCGGGGGTCATTGATTTTCCCTATATGCATATAGTAAAAACTTAAAAAATCTTCTTTTAAAGAACCCAAAGAGCTAGAGCTAAGATATTAAGCATGAAACATCTTCTAGTGAGTGTCTACCAAGTTTGTTCAAATTAAAGCCCTGGGGTCAAAATTGGCCCCGCCCCGGGGGGTCATTGATTTTCCCTATATGCATATAGTAAAAACTTAAAAAATCTGCTTTTAAAGAACCATAAGAGCTAGAGCTTAGATTTTTGGCATGAAACGTCTTTTAGTGAATGTCTACCAAGTTTGTTCAAATAAAAGCCCTGGGGTCAAAATTGGCCCCGCCCCAAAAACTTAAAAAATCTTCTTTTAAAGAACTCAAAGAGCTAGAGCTAAGATATTTAGCATGAAACATGTTCTAATGGGTGTCTACCACGTTTGTTCAAATAAAAGCCCTGGGGTCAAAACTGGCCCCGCCCGGGGGGGTCATTGATTTACCTTATATGTGTATAGCAAAAACTTAAAAATCTTCTTTGAAAAAACCCAAATAGCTAGAGTTTAGATATTAAGCATGAAACATCTTTAAGTAAATATCTACAAAGTTTGTTCAAATAAAAGCCCGGGGGTCAAAACTGGCCCTGCCCCAGGGGTGTCATTGTTTTTAACTATATGTGTATAGTAAAAACTTTAAAAATCTTCTTTTAAAAAACCCAATGAGCTAGAACTTAGATGTTTAGCATGAAACATCTTCTTATGGGTGTCTACCAAGTCTGTTCAAATAAACAAATAAAAGCCCTTGGGTAAAAATTGGCCTGGGGGTGGGGGGGCCTATATACAGGTGAGCGACCTCAGGGCCATCATGGCCCTCTTGTTTTTGTATTTTGTTTATTTTACACTGAAATGATTGTAATATGCTTTTGCAACTACAGCAAAATGTAAACGATAAATATAGTTAATTAAAAATTAAAATCATCAATGCTTTGTTGTCTGGCAGTGAATAAAAAACCAAACTATTGACTGGCAAATAATAGCAGCTTTACCTTTATATAGGTCATTTGAAACATCTTTATTTGATCTGGCATTTACTTTCAATCGGTATTTTTTGATAAAACGTTTTCTTTACCGGGCACTGAATAATGTATAAGTAAAATAGGTAGCGCACAGATAAAACAGGGCTATAACAAGAGCGCTTGACACTGTCAACACACGGTTTTTGTCCCATTAATTAACGGACGTAATATGGGAAAATAACCGATTGTATACTATGATATTTGTTGTAGATGATATCAAACCATCTGGTCCAAGTCCTATCTTCGGTGGATTAATAATGGCAGGCGCTGCAGCAAAAACATCAAAATGTAAGTTTACGATTAAGTGTTAACAATAACTTACCTGTTACAGTAAGCTTTTGTGTATAAAAACAACAATTCTACTTTGCTTATTTCTTAGTATCTATCTCTAACATTGTTATACTGAAGTGATTGTTGCTTGTATGCAGTATACCATCGACACTTTATTTCGATAACCCTTGATGGCAAAACATCATCGTTGGGCTTGTTAAACTTATTCATAACGAGCTTCATTCTGTGATAATTGTTGAGTAAATAACAAACCCATTTATTTATAAACAGCAGTGGTATTGATGACCACGAAAAAAACAAAAACAACAAAACAACAAACAACAACAAAAAACAAGATTCATAATAACTAAACCGACCTCTATTTCATGATACAATTATCTTTGTTGTGTAAAGATTGATTATCATGTCAGTATTCTAACAAAATTGATCAACTTTTGTAGGTTATTGCTGCAATTGTAGCAGTTTAAGCACAATTTGCGAAACCATCAGCAAACACTAATCAAAGAAAACAATATTATTTGCTAATTAAAATGCCTAAGTCAAAGTTCTCTCTTAACAGAAATGTTCACTCGACTATTAATAATGTTCAAATTGTCGAACATGTCTTTTCACATTGCCGTGTATCAATGTTATAGGAAAATGATTTTGTAACAAATGTAAAAATCACATTTCATAAAATTCGATTGTTTTGACACATGAAAATAGAAAAAAGTATATCGATTGAAGAAGAAAAACTCCAACACACTTTTCCTTTCAAATGATATAGACAAAAACATGATATAGACAATTAAGAATGGTTCACTTGATCGACGTTTTTCGAAAGCCGACAGAAATAGGTTAAATGTGACATCTTTTTTCCCCTTTTATCCTCGGTCCAGTCATATAGTTACCCCGTCTTGGTTTTTGAATTTGTGTTCTATTTCTCCAAGAAATTGAAAACTATATTGTTAAAAGTGATAACATAAAATGAACTATTTCAGCTGATGTATGTTTATAAAATTCGGAAGATCTAGATATGCCGTACGAACCACAACATTTACCATTCACTAATTTAGATACAGATTGTTTGACTTCTAGGTCAAGGTTTATTTTAAATACCATTTCCTCAACGGTTTTAGTAATGACTAAATTAATCGTATTTGGACGTTATGGCTGCTACTCTGACTTTTTGTTGAGTAAGAAGACTATTGTGTCAAGGTCCCAGATTCAGAAATACATCCGTATACATCGGCCAACAAGAAATAATTTTTACTTCTTGTTTGATGCTTTTAGTATTTGGTATGTAAATACCTCGTGTGGACTGGTAACTTTGGGTGGAAGACATAGTTAGTCGGGTAAAGTTCACTGGCGTTTGAAATATATTTCTATACTTTACTTATTATCCTGCCTTTTGTAATGAAAGATATTAATTCTATGTGCAGGTTCGAGGATCATTCATCGCAATAAGCGATATTTTGTGTTTTTCCTTCTTTTTAAAAAACAAAACAAATATACAAGATACAAAATTTAACGATTCAACCAACTCACCAACTCAATCATTACAGTTAGACAAACATCGAGTGTAACAATCATTGTAACTGTATTCCTGTAATTCAGTAACATGTAATACTACTGTTCTTTCTTAAATTATCAATTTGTTTTTAAAGTTTCATTCGCTATGGTGAACAACCTACTTGTTATCCCGAAATTGATTCTGGTAACAGATGGTAAACCTACAGAATTGACCTTACTTGAAGGACCTGACGTTGCTGATCCGGAGCTTATGGAATGGGCAAGTATTTCTTTTAATACTTATTGCCCATTTTAAGAATAATTAAAAGAATCATATAATGTGAAATAAAGTACATTCTAACTTATGCTAAGTTTTAAAAATTGCATTTGTATATCTTGGCAATGGCTAACCTAACAGAATGTTTATAATAACTACACTGAGCATCAGTAAGTTGTCTAAGAAAACAACGAGAATACAGATGAACAAGGCAAGGTGACGCTCACAGAACGCAGCCCCTGACACAATCAAGTCACACAAGCAGGGCACCCAGATGGCACCAAACTAAAGAGAGAGAGAGGAAACAAGGGCGGTGAAAGGAGTGCAGGAGTACACAATAAGCAAAATGAAAAGAATTTAAAGTGGTGGGCGATATTGGAATTTAAAGTGACAAGGAGTGCAAGGAAACAATGGGGTAAAAAGGGCACACAATGGGACAAGATGGGGAATGGAAAGAATATACATACTGTTGACGACAATGTAACAAGGTCGGACACCACAGAACGTGAAACATTCAAAACACGTAACCAACAAGCACATGTGAAGGTACACAGAGGGGTGCCGCCACTGATATTGAGGTATTCTAAAATTATGTTCTGTGTTCGTCGTTTAAAACCATCTGATATTATTTTATTTTTTTACTTCTATAGACTAAAAGTGTAATCAGTGATGAAGCGGACAAGTTGGCAAAAGATCAAATAGATTTACATTGCATTTACGTTGGCCAAAATGCTGATCGTGTAAGTCTGAGAATTAATTTATTTGAAAAATAAATCTTTTAATTCATCTTAAAAATATTATATTACAAACTGATGAATGACTGATTTCTTATAATGTTTCCAAAAAAATTAAAGTGATATACAATACTAGTATTGTTTTTGTTTCCTACGTATCTCTATCCATCCGTCCGGCCGGCCGACCGCATTAAGTTTGTCCGGCTGCCACAGGTCAAACTGCTAGCAGGAATTTAATGAAACTTCACAGAAATGATCATTGTGCATGTTGTCCGATTTTCACAAGTAAAACTGTTGACGAGATTCCGCCCAAACTTCACAGGAGTGATCAGAACCATTCCTGGCTGTGCAATTGTTGGTACTTTTGGCTTCGCTGCACAAACTGGCCTCCTGATATACCAATCTTTCTCAGCTTTCACAGGTCAAACTGCTGACGGGATTTTAACATTACTCCACGGGAGTGATCATTACAATCCCTAGTTATGTATATCGTCGGCACGTTCCACTTTGCAGCACAAAATAGAGCTAATATAAGTTCCACAGGTCAAACCGCTGACGAATTTAAATTACAATTCAAATTCAAGTTATCAGTACAATCCTAAGAAGTAAATATCGCTGCACAAAATGGCCACCAGAGCAATAAAAAGAAAACTCTTGTCCGGCTTCACAGGTCAAACTGTGGGATTTCGACCAAACTTCACAGGAGTGATCAGTACCATACCAAATTTTTGGAGGCATATGTTTTTGAGATAAAAACCCTTTGTTTCTAGTTACATTATGTCTATGCTAGACTTTTGTAAAATATCATTTTTGTTATTTCATTATATAATTAGTTTTGCTTTATTTTCAGAGTTTCCTTAAAAGGATCCAGAGCAAGAATGTCAGAGATCTTATGTCTTACAGAGATGGTGAACGCATGGCTTTGTACACCGTGGTAAAAGTAAGCAATGTGTAAATTTAAAAACTATAAGAACAACCAAAACTAGAGCTATCACTGACGGTGATTATATCCAAACCAGCAACCTTTACTGTTTGACAAATAAGTTGTTTGAAGAAAAATTTGAACTCAACCCTTCATTTTCCCCCATTTTTTATATTTCAAAAACATATAAATACAATCAGTCATATTTACATACAATATTTGTAACTAAATATATAACATATCTATCTCAGTTAAGGTATTGAATGCCTAATGCATTATCTCATTTCTGAAGAGTATTCATTTTCAGTTAGGAGTTTCGATAGGGCATTGGTTCAAACCCCAGTAGACGCAATATTCTTTTTCAGTTTCTGTCTTTTTTTCTTCTTTTTGTTTTGTCAGATTATTATTTTCTTTCTTAATTTGTATTTTTTTTTAAGTTCTATGTATTTTTACTGTGAAATGTATAAATGTATAAATGAAATTTGATAACATAACGAATTAAAATGATTATAATTTAAAATCAGCATGGTTAACTTTCTTTATTTTCTGCACCAATGTTTAGAATAGTTTCTAGATAAGTATTATAAAAAAGAAATATTTGATGCCCCGATTACATTTGACAAAAAATCTGACAGTTTTTCTTACCCCACCCTCTTTTTATTTGTCTTTGTCTCAATAAAGAAAATAAAATAAAATGTTTTCATCTACATTTTACATTGATTTATTTGAAAATATTCAAAAAATTTAGTTCTTTATCAGTTTTCAAGTATGCAAACTATTAAAAAAGTGACACTTTGCAAAAGACAATTAAAGCATAATTGTTGTTGCTGTAGTTGTTTAAAACCGATATAAAAGTTGAAATTTAACTGTCAACATTTTTCAAACAAGCTGGTTAACTTTTGTGTTTTTTTTTTCATTTATGTTTAGAATATAGTAAAGTGTAATATATTAAATATTAAACGCCTTTTGAAAAAGTGTCATTTATACATCTAATATCTTAACTCAATATTCATTAACCATAAATTAACTGAAGAAAATAGTATAAATTTTGAAGTTTCAACAGTGTTCAAAGAATTTACTGTTAAGGTATGGCCACCCTAACGGGCAATATAAGGACTTGAAAAATTACCAACAAGTCAGATATATACCTTAAAGTACACTTGTATTCAAAATTTAAACAAACTTTACCGTATGGAAATCGAGTTAAGGCCACTTTTCTGAATTGAAACTAGGATGTTATGCAGAAATAAGGAACCTTGAAATAATCAAGAATAATATCCCAATGAAAAAGTAGGTTAAGTATCTCTCATATTCCTTTTGGAAAGAAAAAATTGTTTAATTTTGAATATTTAATTTATATTGATATATATGGGCTAATATTGCTAAATCTAATAATAAATATGGTAAAGTGTAATAAAATCAAAACTAGACGGTAAAAGTATCCAATATTTTACAAGATCCACCAATATACTTCTTTATTTAGAGTAACTTTGAAAACAGGCACTCATTTGGATAAATTTTAAGGACTATTTCAATTAGGCTCTCTACGTAGGAAAATGATCAAACACGTTTTAAAAATGGGTCAGGTAAGGTAACATTTTTATACATATTTCATAAATATTGAGATGAACAATAATTTTGCTTATGTGGATTGTTAACTGAATGGTACTATTTGTTTCTTAAAAGAAAAAAAAGAAAGAAAAGAAAGTTGAACCCTCAGGTTCAATGTAGTTTAAAAGTAAATCTAGCCTATTTGAATACTCTTCAAAGCGGAGGTAATGCATTAGGATAGTGATATCTTAATTTCATTCCAACCATGGTCTTCATATAAGCTTGCTTTACACTGAATTTGATTATGATATCTCATTCCTAATTCTATTTATTGTCCGAAAAGCATTTTTTTCTATTTTTGTTAACAGTGACCCTTGACATTAGGGGTCAAAATGCAATCTAACCCTGATCTTGATCCCAGATGGTTCAAAAGCAATAGAAGTCTGTTCACATAAGCTTGCTATATACCAAGGTTGTTTTCAGTATCTCATTCCAAACTATAGTTTTTGCCCGGAAACGACATTTTCTATTTTAAGTAATGAAGACCTTGACCCCAGAGTGTCCAAAAGCAATCCTACCTTCAGTCTTCATATAAGCTTGTTTTATACCAAGTTTGATTACAATATCTCATTCCGAACTGTTTTTAAACCATTTTCTATTTATAGTAACAGTGAACATGACCTCGGGGTGTTCAAAGGAATAGCAAACTGGGTCTTCATAAAAGCTTGCTATATATCAAATTTGATCATTCCTAACACAAGTTATTGTAAGGAAACACTTTTTTATTTTTAGTTACAATAACATTGACCCTATGGTGTACAAAAGCAATACCAACCGGGGTCTTTACATAAGCTTGCTATATAGAAAGGTTGATTACAATATCTCATTCCAAAATCCAGTTATTGTCCGGAAATCATTTTTCTACATTAAGTAACAGTGACCTTGACCTTTACAGATATCTAAAATCAATATCAACCAGGGTCTGTACATAAGCTTACTATATACCAAGTTTGATTACAATGTCTCATACCGAACTCTAGCTATGTCCGGAAACCATTTTTCTATATTTCGTAACAATGACAGTTACCTTAGACCCATTATGTTGAAAAGAAATACTGACAGGGGTTTTTACATCAGGTTGATATATACCAAGTTTGATTACAATACCTGATTCCAAACTGAAGTAATCAGAGACATACCGACAAGCTGACTCCTAGATACCCCATTAAACTTCGTATAACAAAATATTTTCAGCTAAATTCGACATATTTCAGACTGTTTTTAATAGGTATCTTGTTGTAACGCATCACCTATCAATAAAATATATCAACGCATTCTAAATATATTTCACGTCGCCATAAAAAACAGTTTGATTAGGGTAAATTGTCTATTAAACTAGACGGCATATTTTTAACTCTTACTTTTCCAGTGTATGAAAGAAGGTGACCAACGCTTTGTACGATGTGCTGGCCTTGAGGGCATGGGAAATTTGGTAATGCATTTAACATAGTCAAACAAAAATGTTATTTAAGGTATCCTATGATATGATAAGTGATGTATTATTCCACTAAACTAATGTACGAGTACATATGAATAGAATTATGATTTAATTGTCAAATAAATATTTTTGATAGCATAGCATAAATACAATATAATATCTTGAATTGTAGAAAAGTTGATTTCTTTAATTATAAGCTCACCTGAGCACAAAAAAACTGATAGGTAAGGTTTTGTGTATACACTGGGTCCGTCGTCCGTCAATCTTTGTCCGTCGTTTGACGTTTATTTCTTCCATTTCTATAACCAATAGCTCTTTCTAAACGACAAGATACATTTTCAGCGAATTTCACATGAATGAACATTAGGCAGTCCTTGAATTGGTTACGGTCCGATGCATTAGTAGGTCACAGGAGCTAAAATATAAATACATGGAATCTAAAGAAAAGTCTTCTTCTTAGAAACTACAATACTCAGAAATAGAAATTTGGCATGTTGTATCATTGTGGTCCTCTACAAAAGTTAAAGAATGATCCACACTAGGTCTCACTTTGTTAACATAGGCTGAAGAAAGCGCAATTAAGGTTTTCCATGAAACTTCAAAGCCAAGATCTTAGATATTTGGCATGTAGCCTTGCCAAGAAGACTTAACGAAATTTATACAAGTCATGCCCCGCGAGTAAAAAAATGTCCTGCTTTAGGGCTCATTTTGTTTACGAAGACTTGACAGAAATTATAATCTTCTTCTCTGGCATGTCATTTGTCATGCCCCTGGGGTCAAAAATGACAAGCGTTTGGGTCGTTCAGTTTAGTACATAGAGTTATGTAGTGAAAATGTACAAATTTTCTTACTTGAACGTACAATACCCTCAGCTAAATACTTTACATGTAGAAACACCTTGTGGTTCTCTATAAAAATTAAATCACTCATGCCCCCCCCCCCGGGGTGGGGGGTCAAAATTAGCCCCGTCCTTTGGGTCACTTATTTCATGTAGACTTGTAAAGGAAATACATTTAAGTCTTCTTTTTCTGAATCTACCATGCCGAGAGTATAGGATTTCGTAGCAGATATCTACAAATAATTTGAAAATAATGCAGTTTGGGTAAAAAAATACAAATCAAATGTGACCTCAATACTGACTTTAACATATGTGACATTTGCTAGCAAAGTATTTTTAGATGAGCGATCAAGGACTATCATGACCGTGTCAGGTTTTAGTTTTATTTAAAATAAAGCATCTACATGTATTAATTTTCATATTAAAGGGTATGCCTGACATGGAACAGCTCTCGAGTTTAGTGAATAAGATGTCGGACGACCTTCCTGGAATAAATCCACAACTTACGTCACTTCTACTGAAAAGCATTATTTCAAGTCGGGTATCGCTTAATGTTTTCATTTTTTTCTAAATAAAAAAAAGGGAAAATTAACTCTTTTTTCCAACATATTTAACCTCAGTCTAATCCATTTTACAATAATGTTTGAAAGTTTTTCAGCATTTGTCGTTTATATACGGTGGCACAAAGGTGACATGTGTTTGTTTTTATTTATCTCGTGCGTACGAGATACTATGTCGTGGCCACAAGTTACTAAGTCGTGGCCACGAGATAGCTTAGTCGTGGCCACGAGATACTAAATCGTGGCAACGAGATACTATGTCGTGGCCACGAGTTACTAAGTCGTGGCCACGAGATGGCTAAGTCGTGGCTACGAGATACTATGTCGTGGCCACAAGTTACTAAGTCGTGGCCACGAGATAGCTAAGTTGTGGCCACGAGATACTATATCGTGGCCACGAGTAACGAAGTCGTGGCCACGAGATAGCTAAGTCGTGGCCACGAGTAACTAAATCGTGGCCACGAGTTACTAAGTCGTGGCCACGAGATAGCTAAGTTGTGGCCACGAGATACTATGTCGTGGCCTAAAAGTAACTAAGTTGTGGCCACGAGTTACTAAGTCGTGGCCACGAGATGGCTAAGTCGTGGCTACGAGATACTATGTCGTGGCCACGAGTTACTAAGTCGTGGCCACGAGATAGCTAAGTTGTGGCCACGAGATACTATGTCGTGGCCATGAGTTACTAAGTCGTGGCCACGAGATAGCTAGGTCGTGGCCACGAGATAAATAACCAATCAGATAACACCATTTATATGAATTTCACTAATTAACTATACATGTGATATTGTACAAGGATGCCCCAGCTTCACCAGCCTGTAAAAGTACCATTTATACAACTTATTGACTAGTCTATAATTTTACATTTAGCGTCAATGTGACCCTGATTTTTGACCAATGACCTCGAAATTATAAGATGTCATCTACTGATCAGGTGCAATGATCTTTCTAAGTTATATAAACCATGGCTTATCCCTTCTAAATTATTCATCAGACAAAGATTTTACCTTATAGGCTATCTACTGTCCATGGGCAATCCCTTCCAAATAAAATAAACCAGGACTTATTTCTTTTCATGTTATCGTATAAACAAGGTTAACAGGCCGTAGTACGTACAATACTGGCCAATTCGAACAAAGAGCTACAGTCAAAATTAATGTCTGATGGGCCTTGGAAGGAGACTTTCTAATATGATCCTAAAGACAAGTTCAAAGTGAATATCTTCAGTATTTTCAAAGATTGATGTAAAAGAAGTTGTTAGGTTTAAGATTCATAATATATATAGTGTATTCTGATTGGTTAACTATTTCGTGTCCAGGACTTTTAAACTCGTGGCCACCACATAGTATCTCGTGGCCACGACTTAGCTATCTCGTGGCCACCACAAAGTGTCTCGTGTCCACCACATAATGTATCGTGGCCAACACATAGTGTCTCGTGGCCACCACATAGTGTCTCGTGGCCAACACATAGTGTCTCGTGGCCACCACATAGTGTCTCGTGGCCACCACATAGTGTCTCGTGGCCACCACATAGTATCTCGTGGCCACGACTTAGCTATCTCGTGGCAACGACTTAGTAACTCGCGGCCACGACATAGTATCTCGGGGCCACGAGATAAATAACTAAAAATGTGTCATCATGCCAAGGATGCCCCTGCATGCAGCCAAAATTTCAGATGTTATAATATTTAGTTCCAAATTTGTTTGCACAAATTATTTTTTTCATTTTAAGTTCAAAGCCCTTAAAACTTTTCAATGTTAACACAAACCCTTTTCATACAATGTTCAAGGCACTGAAATTATTCAGTCTTAACCTTTTAAAAAATAGCATATTGCATATTTGTAGCCAAAATAATGGCTACAAACATTTCCACAATAGTATGAGTGCTGAAACTGAAAGTTCAAAATTTTTCCAACATTCAGGAAAGATAAGTTTGTCCAAAATCATTGAACCACGACCAAATTCAAACTTAAACTGCTTATTCGTAAGATGTATCTATATTATTTTCAAAGTGAAAGGGACATAACTCTGTCAAAAAATCATCAAACCATGACTAAATTCCAACTTGTCCTGCCCATTCTTTTGACATATCCATATGTCAAATTTGAGTTGAATATGTAACACTGTTGGGTAGATAATGAACAGAAACTGTAAATTTCATATTATTTTCAAAGTGAAAGGGGCATTACTCTGCCAAAAATCATTGAACCATGACCAAATTCGAACTCGGCCTGGGCATTCCAAAAACATATCCATATGTCAAATTTGAGTTAAATGTGTTGTACCGTTGGGGAGATAATGAACGCAAACTGAAAATTTCATATTATTTTCAAAGTGAAAGGGGCATAACTCTGCCAAAAATTATTGAACCATTACTAAATTTGAACTTGACCTGCGCATTCCTTTGACGTATCCATATGTATAGTTTGAATTGAATGTGTTGTATTGTTGGGGAGATAATGAACGGAAACTGAAAATTTCACATTGTTTTCAAAGTAAAAGGGGCATAACTCTGCCAAAAATCATCAAACCATGACCAAATTCAAACTTAACCTGTATTTTCTCATGACATATATATATGTCAAGTCTGAGTTGAATCTGTCGTACCGTTGGGGAGATAATGAACGAAAACTGAAAATTCCATATTATTTTCAATGTAAAAGGGGCATAACTCTGCCAAAAAATCATCGAACCATGACCAAATTCGAACTTGACCTGTATTTTCTCATGATATATCCATATGTCAAATTTGAGTTGAACGTGTGCAACCGTTCTTAAAATAATGAACGGAAATTGGTGATGACGGAATGACAGAATGACGGAAGGACAGGACGGAACAGGGTAACACTATATGCCCCGGCCATTACATGGCGGGGACATAAAAATACTCACATGTCACCTTTGTGCCACCGTATTTATATTTTTTGTATTGGATAAGAGTATGACTAAATGAACTTGATCAACATTATAGAATGATTTCAAATCGTATACTTCTTACGTGTAATTGATGAAAGCTCAAAATATGCTTTTGACGTGCATATGAAATGTATCCAAAATAACTTGATTCATTAAAACAGATCGCTTTAATAAATTTTAACGTGTTTTTTATTTGAAATTCGAGTCGTGTATTATCATTTCTAAGAAAAAGACACACTCTTGATCAATGAAAACATCTATTTAAGGATAAATCGCCGGATAAAAGTACTACTGATTTGCAATTGGCATCAAGGTCGCGATACAAGGTAAATATATGAATTTCAGACGAACCATTATCATAAAGACACATCTGCCTATGTTGTAAATGTGCATTTATTAAGATATGTTACAGGATAGGACAATGTTATTGATTTAGAGCAGTAGTCAAAACATCTGAAAATGCTATTTTAGTATATCATTCTCAACAATAAATTTAACATTTTTTCATTCCAAACACCAGCTTTGATTGGTGCCAAAAAACATCTGCATTATTACAATTGGTTTTTAAAACCGTCATGCACTTCAAGTAGGAAAATGAATTTCCGTCATTAAAATCAACTGAAAGATTGCACTAGTTTAAAGCATTTTTAAAACAATTATTTACAGACATCAACAATAACAATGGCAGGAGACCGTCTCATAAACGTTTACAAAGAGATCAACGATGGTCAACACCCGGCTATAGGAACAAGAGTTGAGAAAGGCAGTGACTGGACATGGGGAAACCAAAATAGAGACAAAGACGGGACGATCATTGGTCATGCTGACGACCCTAACGGTAATTCTATTAACATCAAATCTAAATTACAAGGTGTCAATAAAAGTTCTGCGCTGATTCATTTTCGTTTTGCACATTTGAGATCGGTAGCAAATGTGGATAGAATTGAGAAAGTATGAAAGATAGGACAGAGAGAGATGTCACTTAACGTTTACCTTATTTCTCAATACGTATATTTCTCCCAGGAGACAAATATTATTTTGCTACACAACATAGTTATTTTACAGTAAGCATAATTATTTTACAGATAATCAAAATATGAATCAAAGATCACGCGATATTATGTTCAGCGAAACAATAAAATTAATGGGTTTTTTTTAAATCCGAGGGATTCGGGGAGAAAATAAAATGTATGTAGACAGTTTACAAAAAAACAGTTCTAAAATGTTATTAGTATGTTGTTTCAATATATATTATAGTTTACTGCAAAGCATTATCCAAGGGTGTCTGTGAAACAGTCAAATGTTACTTCTACAGTTTTGACTGTTTCACAAAACCCCATGAAATAATTGTATGCTGATATAAGGGCATTTATAAAATGAAGTAATACACTCAGTGCTCATTATGGCCAATATAGAGTCGGATAGCCCTCGTCCACAAGATGGCAAACAATTTGTTCTGAGTAATCAAAATTCAAAGTAATCAAAATATTTTTAATTAGAGTAGTAATCCTCACTTTACACATGTCCGAAACTTTAATTTTATTTCAAATATCAATATAATAGTATATGAGATTTATATCGGTACATGCCAATTTACTATGATTTTGTCACACGAAAATTAGCGATATTTATATACGTTTATGCTACGGTTAGATTACATGTTCATGTACTGAATGAAAACAACTTTAACGATGGTTTTTAAATCATAGATTTTTTTAAGAAACCTACAAATAATGTTATACCAGAAATTCATAACACAAAATATATTATGTCTAAAAATTGATAAATAATTAAAATGCTATACTGACAAATACTTTTTTGATTACCTCCCTTTACATGAAAAACATCAATACCCACCCAATATTTCACTTTATGTTCATGATTCATACGAAAGTGGTAATTTAATTTATATAAAGCCAACAAAGTGTAAGATTTTACAGTGATGCATTAAGGTGAAATTATATCTCGAATTCACATTTTATTGAATATCTAATTAAACAATATTGTTTCAAACAATTAAATTGTATTTTACATTTACACTCAAAGCAGACGATGGACAATGCTGGGTCCATGTGGAATGGGATGATGACAATTGCCCGGAAAAAGGAATTCAAAATGTCTACAGATACAAAATGGACGATGACATGGAAGGGGACGTAAGAGAGGCGGCATCAGATGATCGGCTGCCTCCAGCTGGAAAGGTTTTAGCTGTCGGCTGCAGGGTGAAACAAGGTTTATCTTTCTTCCAACAAATTTCGATATCAAATATTTTAGTCAACTTCATTCAATAAATAAAATAATGCAAGAAAAGTAAGACTAAATGTAGAAAAATGATCATATACGCAACAGAAGTAAGACCTAGTTCTGGCAAATATTTACAGAAGAAAGAGAACGTAAAGTCTGTTAATGTCTCAGTTGGGACCGAAACATATGACCAATATCAATATAAATATGTCTCATTCTTACTGTAGCATTGTTGGAATGACGTGCACTACCATTTATTTTATGGCATATTGTTCGAAGCCCCGTGTTACTTTCAGAAGGTGTCAACTATAGGGTGAGAAGAAAATTATTAAATCGAAATAATTGTTTCTTTTAGAATTATTCACTTTAAAATCTTCTGTTTAGGTGAAGGATATCGAGGCGAAAAGACAGATGTGAAAGGGTCAGTCATAAGATTCCATGGAAATCGAGTTGAGGTAAATGCCGAAATTAATGTACACTATTATGCTGTCAGTCTCGTATTTCTTACTAATATGCAGTATCATTTAGAAATTCAATTTTTAAAAAAGTAGATTTTCTACCCGTACATGATTGATGCTGTTCTTAAAAGCCTTAAAAAAGCTTCCTGATCAAATTTACATTGATAATCATTTACATTAAATATCTGGCCGAATAAACAACGACGAACGTCAATAAAAGCGTCAATACACAGATTGAAATAACCATGATCCTTAATGCTTTTGGAAATAAATAACCAAATACACGATGCAATCATATCTATTATTGTCGTGAAATCATGTATAAAATCTTTTTATAAAGGTTCGTTGGGATGATGGAAATAGAGGGAAATATCGTTTTGGCACTCGCTCATCTGAGGTCGTACCTTTGATGGATCCAGGTATGCATTTATTGTAGGGAAGAAAACATGTTCATTATATCTATAGATTAAAGCAAAAATATATTTTTTCTCAACATAATCAGCTGACAATATCATATCTTCGGTATATATTAGCTATATAGATATTTTAAAGTTCATGATGTGTGGAGTATACATAGAGTTCAGACTATTTCAATGTAAGTGAGGACATTTAAAGCTTAGAACCTGGGATATTATCCTCTGTATATGATAAGCCTATGGCGCTAATATTTCAGTAACTAAGGCGATCTTGTTAAAATTGAGGTTGAAAAGGATTTGTGTAGTCACCTTTAGAGGGTTGACTGTGATGCAGTGCCTGAATAATGCCCTTGAACTCGTAAAACAAATGTTACGATATACAGGTGTCTGAAATATATTAGCAGGTTTGGGAGAATTGAGGAACAAAAAATGACTGTTAATAAGCAATGATACAACAAAACGCTTTTCTCGTTCCTTAAAAATGTTTAAGTTGCTACGAAGTCTTTTATTCATCTGTTTTGAGGTTTTGTTACTTTTTAATTTCCAAACTTACTGAGACGTGGTACAACTGATTTTACTTGGGTATATTATTTTAGAGTTTTGTAATAGCATTTAATGTTTCGATTTAAAATATTTTGAAGGATAAATATCGTTTTTAAAAATAATACAACGTTTAATTATACATCGAAGTGGATATAAATTGTAAAAGCATTTCCTGAACATATTTTATTCAAACGCTTATCATCGAAACAAATATAATTGTAGGAAGGACAGCTTTTGAACCAGCCCGACAAGACCCCGGTGGCAATAATATGGTCTGCGAAGATGGTATGTAAAACATATTAATTGAAATACCAATATTCATAAAGTACTGAATAAGAGAAGAAGCAGGAGAAGAAGGAAAAGAATTCTTTTAATATAATATAAACAAGTATATGAATCTTAAATATATATCAATTTAAGTTTGGTTGCGACCATTTAAGTCACTGGACATTGTTAACATGATGACAGACCTCACATACAGTAATGAGCAGAATCGAAAATTTTCTAATGCTTGATACAGTTTACAATGCAACTGACGTAGAACAAAAGGAAGTTATATTTTTTATAAGTCAGCACTTGGTTAGCAATATCAATTCATTGCAGGTAATGATGTTCCAAAAATAAGAGTGAATGACAAGCATGCACTTCAGATTGCACAGACGATTCCCTCTGGATGGGAGATGTTGGGCACAGAACTGGATGTTGGAAATGTGAAGATGAATCACATTGCGAAGGATAACCAAAGTTCAATCGTCATGCAAATATATGCGATGCTTAACTACTGGAGACAAAATGCCGAAAATCCTACATTAGATGTACTTGTGAAGGCAATTCGAGGATGTGGTGTAACGTATGATGCTGACGGACTTTCAGAAATTATTGAAGCAGCCCGGAAGGAAGAAAAGAAATAGTTTTTTATATTATTTCTCCTTCTACTCAATTTTTCACAAACTGTATTTTTTTTAAATTTGTGGTTTGTTATGATTTAGTTTAGCGGCCTTTTTCGATGTGCATATTATATTTAAGTTGGAAGCTATTCATTTCATTTTGTATTACTCTTAAAGGGACTCCACTGAGGTTTAAAAGCCTTAAAACATAACATTTGAATTTCTTACATAAATGAGCTGGGGTACTTTAACGAGAAATATGTGCAAAAATAGTTAGGAAATATGCTTTGAAATAAATTGAAATTCGTAGTTTAGCTTTTCTTAGCCCGATTTTAGTGAAAAGCGATTAAACACTTTTCATTTTGGGTCATTTTTTTTACAATTTGAATAATTATTCTGGAAAAACGAAGTGCGCGAATGATCTGAAATTTTGCACAAAGATTAGTGGTCTAAACCTACATAAAATGGTACCTTTATCTTGAAAAAATATTTTCAGTCCCATCATGTCAAAAAACCTCAGTGGAGTCCCTTTAACAATTTGACTAATTGGTTAACTAAGAACTAACTCAACTTTAAACCATTTTTCTTTACGAGTGTATGTATCTGAAAATTTTCTGTTTTGCTGTGTTATTCCATTGTATTCGAGTTAAACCTTTACTGTGCTTTAAACAGATATGGTTTATTCCCTTCTTTATTGCTTATAACTGTACAAGAACATGTTTGATTATATATTCAAGATATATTTTATTTGTCTAAAAGGAATTGCTTTTCATCATTTTTTTTCTTTATAGTGCCATTTTGGGAATAAGCTGTTTAAATACCATCAACGAAACTTTTATGAAACGCAATGTTTTACTTAAGATCCATTTCTGTTATGAACTATGAACTTATGACCTGCTGTATATTTGTTTCATAGTAAATTGGTTCACCTTGTGACGTCCAATTTTCAAGTCACTCCGTAATTAATTGGCCATTAAAGGCACGTTTTTCAAGCACGGACAGACTTATAGGTTCACATCAACCGAATATAGTTTTGAAATTAGTATAATGTGGTAATTGTAAAACTGCATGCCTCCAGATGAGCCAAAATAATTCAAGAAAATCGAACTTGAGAACATGTAGAACATATTTAAAAACATATTAGATACACAGATTAAAGTAGTTATTTATATGTTAAGTGCGATTAATGCGATTTGAATTGTTTCTCAACATATTTGCACTGCATGCCTTGCGCAGTACGGGCTAATTTTGCATATTTTGACCGACCTCTTTTCGTTAATTTACGTTCGTTGTAAGTGCTGTTGCAATGTGTAAATTCTTTTCCTTTCTTTCTTCACTATATATTATTTTTTAAATACATTTTCAAAACTACACAAATATGTAGGCATGATGCTTTAAGCGAAAATTATTAAACAGTTATTGTCAAGCAACAGTTTGCATACAATTGAAAATATACGTGTTTATAGTCAAGGAAAGAATATAAAGCTATCCATTCTATATGTAAGAGCAGTATTCATGGATAATTGTTTTTAATATCTTATTACAGAGATAATTTGAAATATGTATTGAAAACTTATTTTATATGAAAACAGCATTTTATACGTACTAATTAAAAATAAAAATATTTTAGTGTGAGATATCGTTCTGTTTTTGTTTCTTTCACTTTCTAAATGTTTGCATACTATTACCAAAAATATGTAATTATGACGTTGGAACATGGGTCGCATGCGTTACCAGAAAATTTGAAGCCCGTCGTGTATTTATATTTAAACGTTGCACTTACAGAAGCATGGTCCTGTTATACACCTTGACAAAATCTGGAAAAAGGGTGATCACTCAGAAGCAATAAAAATTATGTATGAAAATTGAGGACAGATTTGTTTCGGTCTGTTCATGAGTAATAAAGTCATTTGCAATGCCCCACACAGTTCACACACTTGCTTAAGTGCTAATAAATCTTTAATAATAACGTGCTGGAGTCTTGTCTCATTTTCTATAACATTTTGTAAAATAAATAAGACGATAATCGTGCGGTCTTACAGACAGTTTGGGTTTGTTACTACATGTGTTCCCTCGAGGGTATACAGAATCAGGTATTATAGATAATATGTGTTATTTTGGGTTTGGAGTGATATATGTGGATATATTACCTGTCCAGATTTTATATCACCCGAGCCGTTAGCTCGGGTGATATTTTATCTTGGCAGGTAATATATCCACATATGTCACTCCAAAACCAAAATAATAATTTTATTACCCTTCCCCTGCCGAGTTAAGACGAATAAAAAAAATCATTGCTGTTTCAAATGAAACGTCGAAATAAGATTCTCTTTAGGGTACCCCTTCATCACAACATGACGTCACATAAATACATGACGTATTTTTTTCCGTACCTAACGAATGTTTATAAAAGAAAAGGAGTAGTCTGTTGAACGCACTTTTTTGTAATTAATATCAAGCTTTCACGAGGTCATATTTGTTTTCAATACTGATGAGAATATGTATCATTACTCTACTTTGGTAAATTTTTATCATTTGACAGTTAAAAAGTGCTTGTAAATCGGAATTTACATAGCGTAAAATCCAACCGTACGCGCATCGCCACAGCGCATGTTGTTTACAACGTGGGGTACCCTACGGGGAAATTTAGTGTGTATATTACCCGTCTGGCTCGGTAATATCATTTTTTTTCGGTTGATCAATATCCAATCAAAAAGGCGGAAAAATTCTGGAAGGGTAATAAAAAGTTTTATTAAATTAAGATATTAGGTCTCTGTGTTGAATGATCATTAATCAAAGACTGTTGTTGTGTTTTTGTTTTGTTTTCTGGTTTTTAGCTCACCTGAGCATATGCTCAGGGTGAGCTATTAAGATCACTCTTCGTCCGTCGTCTGTCGTCCGTCGTACGTCATCCGTTGTCCGTTCACACTTTTCAAACGACATCTCCTCTGAAACCATAAGGCAGATCATAATGAATCTTCACAGGGATGTTCCTTGTGTGAAGCCTTAACAAAGTTGTTCAAAGAATTCCATTCAATGCAGAACTATGGTTGCCATGGCAACCAAAAGCAAAACTTTAAACATCTTCTTCTAAAAAACCCAAAGAGCTAGAGCTTAGATATTTGGCATGAAACATTTTCTAGTGAGTGTCTACCAAGTTTGTTCAAATAAAAGCCCTAGGGTCAAAATTGGTTCTGCCCTAGGGGGTCATTGATTTTCCCTATATGCATATAGTAAAAACATTAAAAAATCTTCTTTTAAAGAACCCAAAGAGCTAGAGCTAAGATATTCAGCATGAAACATCTTCTAATGGGTGTCTACCAAGTTGGTTCAAATAAAATCCCTGGGGTCAAAATTGGCCCCGCCCCAGGGGGTCATTGATTTTCCCTATATACATAGTAAAAACTTAAAAAATCTTCTTCTAAAAAACCCAAAGAGCTAGAGCTTAGATATTTGGCATGAAATATGTTCTAATAGATGTCTACCAAGTTTGTTCAACTGAAAGCCCTGGGGTCAAAATTGGCCCCGGCCCAGGGGGTCATTGATTTTCCTTATATGTGTATAGCAAAAACTTAAAAAATCTTCTTTGAAAAATAACAAATAGCTAGAGTTTAGATACTAAGCATGAAACATCTTCTAGTGAGTGTCTACCAAGTTTGTTCAAATAAAAGCCCTGGGGTGAAAATAGGCCCCGCCCCGGGGGTCATTCCTTTTCCTTATATGTGTTATACAAAAACTTTAACAAATCTTCTTTGAAAAAATCTAAAATAGCTAGAGTTTAGCTATTTAGCACGAAGCATCTTCTAGTGAGTGTTCAAATAAAAGCCCTTGGGTCAAAATTGGCCCCACCCCGGCTGACATTGATTTTCCTTATAAGTTTATAGCAAAAAAAAAAGAGTCTTCTTTGAAAAACCCGAATAGCTAGAGTTTAGATATTAAGCATGAAACATTGTCTAGTATGTGTCTACAAAGATTGTTCAAATAAAAGCCCTTGGGTCAAAACTGGCCCTGCCCCAGGTGTGTCATTGTTTTTAACTATAAGTGTAAAGAAAAAAACTTGACCAGCTAGACCTTTGATGTTAAGCATGAAATATTTTCTAATGGGTGTCTACCAATTTGAAAATTGTTCAAATAAAAGCCCTGGGGTTTAAACTGGCCCCGCTCCGGGGGCCTATGTACAGGTGAGCGACTTCAGGGCCATCATGGCCCTCTTGTTTTTCGTTTTCTTTTTAAACTGTTACTAATCAAATCTTAACAATTGGTTATTCAAGGACACTCTGAAATTTAGGTATATGAATATCTCCAGTTAGTTAGCAGTAATATTGAAAGCTGAATTGACAAGAGCCATTGAGCGTCGGCAATATTGCTACAAGGTCATTAAATCTGTACAGAAGAAGATACTGGTCAAGTATTTGTTTGGTTCTTTCTGAAAATAAACTTTAGATGAAACTATGGTGTTATGGATAATGAGGCACGACGGACGTCAAAAAACGGGTACAATGACATTACAACAATCAGATAAAATTGCATTAAACGAAGTACATAAATAAATGAATTAAAATAAACCAAATAGAAGACTAAAGTAAAGCCTTTTTGTGGTACAAATGAAATAATGAATGTTTCGAGTTATTATGCCCTAAAATATAACAGTTAAACTTATAGATTATATAAAAAAAATTAAGCTAAATTTACTCTCATTTTGGGATCATTGAGATAAATAACATAATGAAAATAATTCTTCTACGGTTGTTTGAGATGTTATTAATAGCTAATCTCCCTTATACTGCAAGGATGGAATAAATGTCGTTACAAATTAAAGCATTACTTGAATGTTTCCTTTTTTAGCTGATTGAAACATTCTGATGAGAGGTTTGGGAATAATTCATCAAACATTTAAACTATAGATAAGACAGTTTTTATTAAATGTTCCATCATTGTATGTATATATAAGGATGCAATACATAAACATCTCTCAAGTAAATTTGTTTTTGCAAACAGTTATACTTGAACATAATGGAGAAGAAAACATGAATAAGTGGATAGATTGTCATCACCCCGTGCCGTTGTTGCATGTTTATTTCTTTTGCGTGACGCAGGGCGAAATGTAAAAACAGCTTAATGCAATGACAGGTCTGGTTGTTTTATTATCAAACCCCATCTCTCTAATGACATTGCACTAGCATCGAAAACATGGCAAATCGGAAAGCAGAATTACAGATTTAGACGCATACTTTTATGCCCTGCCTCCTCGTGCTTCTGCTGATGTTACTGCAAGAAAACAGCTGCATTTGCCCTCCATCATTATTTATTTCTATTAAAGTTCTGATTAGTTTATTATATAAAAAAGAAAATGATAAAGCTTACTAAAATATAAAAGAGGAAATGAAGCTCATAAAGTCGCAATTGAAAAAAAATCCAAACGTATTTAATTATAATATTTCATGTTCCGATAAATAGTAACAGTGAACATTTTAGCTAATATGACCGAGTGAACCGTGTACCGAAAGTTAACTGCTCCTTAAACTTTTGAACCGGTATGACTAAATAACGCAACGGAGATTTTTTGGCGCAAATGGCACAAATTTTACTTTTAATTTGATTTTCGTCAAAATTTATTAATTGTGGTTGGAGGCATGCAGCTTCATATACTGTTTATTCTAATTATAATCAAATGATATAAACATTTTTTATGTTAATCCTTGTCTTAAAAATTGTTTGATTAACATACTTTATGCCCGTTTTGGAAAATATAGAAGAAATGTTTCCATATACTTTCAAAAACATTAATGTTTCCATATACTTTTAAAAACATTAACCGAAAATTTGCTTTTTGAATTTTACAAGAAATTTTTTGATAATACTTTTAATATATATATCATTTATTTTAAATTTAGTTCTCTGTGTAGAAAATCTAGCCCTTATGCGCTAAGAAAAAGTACATTTCTCCGGCATATAATCTTTCAAAACATTTTAAAAAATGAAGTGTAAAACAAACTTCAATTATGATACTATATTCAATATATATAATACATTCTATTTTGTAAAATCATTGATATTTATAATTACTCATTGTGTCTTTATGCAAGAATATCCCCAAATATTTTCGAATAAAACAGATCTTTCACAGCAGCAAAAAGACCTCTTCTCGCATGCTTCTTTTTAAAGAAGCAAACTTGTAAGAAGTTTTATAAACCTATAAACCTGCAACATACATGCATACTTAACTCTTAGAATGCATCTGATGTCACGAAAAAAATGTTCGAGAAGTTGGCAGTCTAGCAGCCTAGCAGCCTGAAGTTGGCAGTCTAGCAGCCTGAAGTTGGCAGCCTAGCAGCCTGGCAGCCTAGAAGCCTAAATAAAACTAAGAATAGTACAAACATGAAAACCGTCGGAAATACATTAGTTTTACATCACTTTTTTACATCATTCCACGCCTTTTCAATATCGTGATCTTTATTTTTTAAGATGTTGAACTTAATCTTAACATAATTTTTTCATTCTGACGCTTCGAAATTTGTGAAGTTAGCAGCCTAGCAGGATACTACAAGCATGAAAACCGTCGGAAATGAATCAGTAGCACATACTTAGACCATTCCATGTCTTATTTCAGTATCGCGTACTTTATTTTTTTCAAA